ACCAAACATTAACACTACCGGGTCGATAATGACTTTATTTTTGTAATTATAAATTATCTATTTCAGTTTAAATATTACTTGTAACAACGATAGGTTTTTTAATTTCAGCAGATCTTGAGATTCCAACTTCTTAGAATCGAAGAGGTCTGATCCACTTACACCGAATTATTAATTCAAAACCACGTTATTCTTCAAAGATCTTTATGTTATATACCTGTAGCGCCAGTTATGAATATATCCTGATTTTCAAAAAACTCTGTAATTAACATAGTTGCTTATCAATTCTGGTTAAAATCCAATAGATAATATTCCAACACAATATTCCAATATATTTCCAGAAATTTCTCAAGCTTTAAATTTGAAATTTATTCAATCAACTTTTGAAATTAAATTTAATAAAACTGTATCAAACAATGCCAACCGATGTACTAAATGTAGACCTGTTTCTTTTTTGTTTTAAATAGTGTAATGGATTATTAAAATGCAAATATATACAAAACATAAACATATACAAAACATTACATAAAAGTAAAGTCGTGTAAGACTAGAAGAAAAAGGGATCAGTTTCTTGAGCTATATAATCGCGATATTTGAAGAAATGAATTCATTAATTATTTTTCTTATTGAAATAAAGTAAAATATTCTAAGCAGATCTGAACCCATATTATTCTTAAATAATAAACTATGAATGCAGTCCGATCTAAAAGATCTATTTTGCGCCTAGAAGTACAACTAAAACAATTCTAGACTAATTATTAATTTCGTAAATGCTGTGGGCTTAATTTTACCCATCTGATTTGGGACTAAAATCCCGCTTCCAAAAAAAAATAGTTCAAGTATACAGAAGAATGCAAGTTAAGAATGCAACATAGTTGGATAATGAGTTAATAAAACGTACAGCTGGTGCTAAACTCAAGATTATAAGTTTGGACTGTGCATAATATTTGATATGGAGGACACATTAGTCAATAAGACTGTTAAATAATGAACACCAAACGCTGACATATAATTAGCAAAGGATATAGTTGATGGTCATAGAGGGTAATGACCAAATACAATAGAACTTCTAGAGCTACTAGAGATAGAGTCATCAGACTTTAGAATTGTAGAGATCTTGATAGATTTTAGAAGTGTTGTGTTAAATTTAGAGATTTCGTTAATTAAGAACACTTTTTTCCTAAATACTATATATTGTTTAGTTGGAATATATATATATACTAGCTGACCCGGCGAACGTTGTTTCCCCTTGCAATTAATTTTCCTGGCTCAGTTGAGTTATAATATGTGTGTTGTTATTCAACTTAACCTTTAGCATTTTAATGCGAAAATTATTTTGAATTGATTTTTTCTTTTGAACTGCAAAAAGTCCACATGCATTACTTATGTTACAAATATTTTCATGTTTTTTTTTTAATATTATATTAACAGTTTTATTATGAGCTCTTATGTTATCTTAAAGCTAAATCATGAACAATATTTTTTGTTAAGCCATTTTGACCGTATATATATAGATCAGAAGGTTTTCCAACACGGGAACATGCAACATATAGTTGCCCATGCGAAAAACATGGATGTTCCAAATTCAGTCCACATACTTTTAATGTTTGATCTTGAGATTTATTAATCTCATCGCAAATGCTAAACGAATTGGAAATTGCAATCGTTTGAATTGAATTGGAACATCGGTTGGTATAATTAGTATGCGTGGAAGCAATATATTTTCTCCTCTGAATTTTCCACTTAATATTGTTGATTCAATTAAGTTCCCCATAAGTCTTTTAATTACTTATCATGTTCCATTACATAATTTTAGTGGGTTTAGATTGCGTAATAAAATGATTGGTGAACCAACTTTTAAAACTACATTGTGTGGTGGTAGTCCTGGCAAATCAAGCGAATTTAAGAACTCAGTGGGATAATTCACAATCTCGTTTTCATCTACCACTGTGTCGATGGATTTTAACGAAATTAAATTACCAGGTAGCACATCTAAGTTCTTGGCAGCCAGAATCGCTCTACTTTGAAGCCATTGATGGTTCTGATAATTTTGATATGTGTGAGAAAATAAGCTTTCTATTAATTCCTCTTTCGAATTAACAATTTTACAAAAATTTTCTGGCAATTTAATAAATTGCGTATTTTCATGAAGACTTACGTTTCCATTACCAATATCCATCGATTGTTTTGCAAATAGTTCTGCAGCTAAATCCCTCTGTAGTCCAACACGCATGATTTCGGTAAGTCGCAATATATGGACACTACGCCACAAAATAGATGATTTGAGGCAAGCATTGACTTCATCAGCATAGGTTGAACCTGGAATAACTGGCAATGTTTGTCTAAAATCACTTGCCAATAAAATTAAAGCGCCTCCAAAAAGTCTATCCTTGGCATTTAAATCTTTAAGTGTTCGATTTAATGCTTCCAATGAATACTTATGTGCCATTGTGCATTCATCCCAAACAATGATGTGACTTTTTTGAAGTACTTTAGCCATATAGTGCATACTGCATTTTCACATGAATGTATGTTTAGTGGCAACTTTAGTGCCGAATGGGTTGTTCTACCACCATCTAACAATGTCGCAGTGATTCCAGATGATGCAAGTGCTAAAGCGATATTACCTTGCATCCTAACCTTTGCAAGAATGACTAAAATTAAGAAAGGTTTTCCAGTTCCACCTGATGCATCCAAGAAAAAAAAAGCCGCCTTCTTTTGCTGCAATTGCGTTCGAAAGCCAATCATAAATGAGCTTTAGTTGGTGCGTTAAGATTTGTTCGCTTCTTGTAACAAATTCAACCAAATCTTCAGAGCTATACTGAAGGTCGCACTGCATATCATTGTTAAATAGATCGGTTGCCAAACGATTTGGCGAATACAATCCTTATAATTTAATTGGTTGATTTGATATAAGTAAACATAAGTCTTCGATCATAATCAAAGCTTCGTTATAAATTTCCCGATTGAATTGAATATTTGAGTTATGATTTGTTGTTCTATGTATATGTAGTATACCACTTTTTTAAAGTTTTGTTCCATGTGAAATATGTTGGAACTTCCGAATAAAGTAAAGTTCTTACGTATTGCCCAAAAATATTTTGTTGTTTATTCAATTCTTAAATCTTGGCATTTTTTCTTTAAGCACAGCTACAATTAATAAGAAAAATATATTTTTCCTCTATTCTAATTATTAAGCAAATGTATATATATCCAGTTTAATTTTTTAAATATATTGAAATCTATGCTTATGTAATAAATTTTTTTTATTTGAAAAAAATAAGAAAATCAGTATCATTCACACAAACTGTCGGACAGTTTGAAACGGAAATTATTAAATTTATTATTTAAATTAAAATTATAACTAATATCGAATGTTTTAATAGCCTATGTTACGCCGAAAAACTATATAAATAAGATCTGAGAGTATCAAGAAGATTAGTTAAGTCATTAAAAAGTTATTGAGTAACGAACAGACGAACAAACGATTTTATATATATGTAGATATAATATGGATTTTCGAATAAAAATTATGGATAAAGACGTTCAATTTGAATAGGAAAATTTCACCTATAGACTTTACGATCGCAATTATATATTTAATTGCTTAAATATAAACTACACTGATAATCACATTTAAGTATATTAAGTAAATTTTAAACTTTAGCTATTTGTCTTGACTTTAATTTTTACTATTAACAAGATACTAGAGTCAAGAATTTTAAATTCTTAAGAATAAAGATTTAGGATCAAAATTTATAGTTACAATAACCTAATAAATATGTTGTAACTACAGTACAGACAAAAAGTCAGATACGCAATTAATAGATTATTAGGAACTGTGAATTCAGATCAAAAGCTAGATCCATAACATACCGTCAGAGAGCCATGTCAGTTATTTTGTAAAAAATCACAACCTCGAGTCAAAAGCAAAAGGATACTCATAATAACTGAATTTAAAGATTATTAAAAATAATAAATTTCGATTAGAAGCAAGAATTACATTACTCCAATAGATAAGTTATAAAGAACATAACCTCAAATCAAAAACGAGAGGCGTAATAACGGAATTGAGAGATTATTATGAAGAATGACTGATCAAAAGCCTAAAATCGGACAATTTGAAGGAGAAATTATGAAGAAGCCTAACCTTATATCAAAGACCAAACGCGTAGTAACTGAATTGAGGAAGTATTAAGAATTATTAATTTAGTACAAAAACTAGTTCTGTAAGAACACAATATAGATATTGTAAGCCATGACTAAGTGAAACATCATTACTTCGAATCAAAAACCAGTGGTAAAACAACTAAAATGACAAATTTTGAAGAAATCTTTAAGAAGTCATCTTCTTATAGGAGAACATGACTTCAAATTAAAGACTAGGTTCTCAATAACCCAAAATAAAAATTGTAAAAAATTACCTTTAATCAAATACAGAGGTTTAATAACTGAATTAACAGATTATGAATATCTGTTAATTATTTTAAATCAAAGACTATAATCACAACAACTTACTAGAGAGATTATAAAACTATTATCTCAATTAAAAACCCAGATGCGTGATAACTGAGTTAAGAGATTATTTACAATAATGCCTTTACATTAAAAGCCAGATCTGCAATATTCCAACAGACAGTTTATAAAGAACCGTAAAGTCAGATCGAAAGCTAGAGGCGCGATAACTTAATAAAGAGATTATTAAGAACCGTGCTTCGAATCTGAACCCAGATTTACAACAATCTAATAGAGAGCTTGTAAAAAAGAACGACCTCAGATTAATAATCATAGCAATAATAACTGGATTGAGAGGTCATTAAGAACAAGACATTTAGACAAAGGATCGTTAAAATCATTGCATAAACATTAGTTATTAATTTATATAATTTTTATTTCTGCTACTTAATTATTATTCAAACAATTTTATTAATTTTTGGCATAAGCACTTTCTTTAAAAACAAAATTAATTTTTATGAACATTTTTAAAGTTTATTTAATATCATTCAAAGAAATATTAAAAAAGCAAATATATAAGAAACCTTACTGCTATTAAAACAGTTAACAATTGTAATAAATAATTGGTATACGTTAAGATTTTAAAACGTCTCCAAGTCCCTTTACTGGCTTCTTCAGGTTCGTTCATTAAAAATAGTTTCAAGCCGCGTATATAAGTAGCGATAATTTTACCTTCATTTCGATGTAAGTATTCCGTTAAGCCAAATTTGTCACTAAACATTAAAAAAATATTTTAATTAGCTAATAAGATATTGATCTATTCTAAAACATAGAATTACATTTCCGATTTTGGTATTATAGTCTCCAAAGCTATTGATTTGTCATTTTTAAAAATCCAGTCTCTATTTGTAAAATAACTAATTGCGTTATTTGCAACAAAAATGCGTCGTTGCAATTTAAAAAGGCTAGAAAATTTGGAAAATATATCAAATAATTATTACAAATATTTAATACCCACAATGGTTTCTGTCCAGATAAACGCAGACCAATATCTCCCAGATATGACAACAAAAGTTGTAGGAAAATATACTAAAAAAATCGTAACATATGAATTGCTTTCTCTATTAAGCATATTTTACTTGAAAAATTTACTTACTCTTATTAGAAATGTAAATGGACATAATGTCGGTTTTCCGCCAGGAGTCCATAATGTTTTCTTAAACGGATTTTTTTTACATTCTTTTTCAGCTATTATAAGAAATTCTCTTAAATTTACGCGTATGTAGTCTTTTGAGCCCAAGTTATAAACATCTAAATTGTTATCGTCTCTCGAACTGATCATTTTTATTTATGACATATATCATAGTTAATATAATATTAATAGTTCCAAACTTATATAATTTACTTACAGATATCCTTTCTTAAAGCATGCTATTAACATAGCACGTACTACCATATCTACCGGTACTTGATCGTGTGTAATTGAATGTGTAATATAATTAGTACGCAAGATACCCAAAGAGCAGGCTAGCATAAGACCTATAGAACCATTTAAATTATCTATCCAACCAGGCAATGGTTCTTTAAGAGCAGGCAAAACTGATATAAAAAATTAAAGAAATTCAAATCGCGTGAAAATATATTTATTTTAATAAAATACCTATTGATGGTCTAAAGATTACTACTGGTAATTTGTAACGGTACTCATTTATGATTTGCTCGGCTAAGTTTTTCGTAAATGTGTAGGTATTTGCCGATGGGTTGATGTATCTGTTGTAATATATAAATACATAATTTGTGATAGCACAAAGTATAGTTTTATGTAATGTTGTAAAAACTAAATTTACTTTAAACTTAAGGTCTCCAACGTGTCTTCATCGTAAGTTTGAGCTAATCTTATTGTTGTTCGCCAATCCGCACAAGCCTGAAAAACCTATGAATATATAGGAAGAAGTTTGGATTAAATTTATTATGATAATAACTTAAACGTCAGGTTAAAGCGGTTATTTTAGAACCGCTTTAAGAACTCCAAAGGACCCCTTAGTTCTGGAAGACTGAGTACGCAAAAAGCCGATCACGACTACATGTACCAGTAAGTGCTGATTAATGCTATTGCTTTTAACTACTATCCCATTAGTAGTTAAAAAAATATAATTAATAATAACCATTAAAAAATAATAAAAAACATCAATGTTTTCAAATCGAAAGAACTCTAGATTCCCGAATAGTAGGGGTGTGTCACGGACAACACAAAATAGATTTGGACAAACATGTTTATGTTTAGATTTAGACACCTAATTATCAATGGGATCTGTCCTTAAGTGTAACAACTTTAAAAAAGCTGACTCTAAGAATGCAGACTTTTTTATCCTAGAAAGAAATGTGTTCTGTTCTTTTCCGCTCTACAGTGACTTCATTCTCATAATTCATTATTCCACCTATACCATATTTACACAGAAAAGGAGACATTTTGAAAATTATATATAAATTTATAGAGATATATTTACGTTGATCAATCTTATGAAAAATGAACCCATAAATTTTATTTTTTGTTTTAATTTAATCATAAATTTTAGTTTAAAATAATTTTCGAACCCATATAACTATTTCAGATATTTAAAATAGTCCGTTATTAGCTACTTATAATAGGTAAGGTTCGTTGGTTGGTTTTCAAACTATTTCGAACTTTAACTATTTCAAACTTTAATAAATTATAAGAAACTCTTCAAAGAGTGGTTTTGGAACTGACGAATAACTTCTCTGATAAATAAGTCCCTAGCAGGTTTAACCGACGTTATGCAGACATAGAATTGTGATAAAGCTGATGTTAAATATTTTGCTATTCTTAATAAAGCCTATATTTTATCACATATATATTATAAAATTTTTATGGATCTAGTCTTATTGTTTATTACCTCTTCATCGCTCTCAGTATGATTAGAATTGCAAAATGTTGTCGATACATGCATGAGAACTTTAAGTTGTTTCAAATTCTCTGCAATTTTTATAATTTCATAGGTGCTTTGTGTATTTTGAAGTATAGCAGGATGTAGAGGCTCATCGAATCTGTTAAATAAAAGTAATTAAAAACATTTTGATACAAGAAATTTGTAAACATACCTTACAGTAGCTGCCGCATGTATTAATATTGAAACATTTTTCAATTTCTCCATATCATCATTACCAATACCCAGTTTTAACTTAGTGGTATCGCCATCGATCGCATATACTTTCGATATATTCTGCGGTTGCTCTTTCCAAGAGTTCTCAAATACAGGAGCTTCTAAAAGCGCTTTTAAACGTTCCTGAACACTTTTTCCCTTTTTGCTTCGTATAAGCACGTAAATGTTTCCAATATTTGGTGATAAACGTAATAATTTGTCCAGCAAGGCTTTACCAATGAAGCCTTAATTTTATTAAAATAAAAATATATTAAAATCGTTCAAAAATATACGTATATGATTTATATAGATATAACATATACAGTAAGTAGCGAAGTCTAGAATGCTGACATATACATAACCCGATCTGTATCGAGACCTCTTTAATAGACAACAGAACATACAAATGTATAATAACACATTAGAAAAATATATAAAGCGAGCTTAATTTAAAGATTTGTCCAGTTGTATTGTTGCTCTGGCTTGAGACTTTTTTAATAATAGCAACAATGATTTTAACAATCACAAATTTCAAAATTAGAGGGATTCGAACTGTAATGAAGAAACAATAACACAAATTTTAATTAATTTATTGTAATTTGATTGACCATACAACGATATTTCGAGTATTCCCAAGTACTACTCATCATCAGTGATTTTAGAAAATATTCAAATTTTTATTTTTAAATAGTTTATAGTTTAGTCCGTAGTTTATAGTCCCTTAAATATAAGCTCTGCCAAAGGTTCTAAGTGGTTCTAACCCCTAAGTTTTAAAATATACGCTAACACAATGGGCTTATAAGCCTAAATGGATCCCTTGGGATCTCACCGGTTTAAACTACGGTTTAAACTCGCGCTTGTTAAACTAGAATCTAATCGTGTTTTTCAACAAGTACCCAAGGCTGCACAAACTTTCAATGCTCAATTTCCAAGATAGTTTCAGACGATGTATTGAAGTTCGCAATCTCTTAAATATATACCACCAGATTAGAAAAGAAAATGTTATGAGCATAATTATCAGATTCTCCCCTTCGTGTTTAATATAGGGATTGAGACTTTTTAATACTAGGAAAAATGATTAAAAAAACATTCCACTGCACACACAAACCTCCATCTAGTCGACATTTGAACTCACCCCATTGACGATCGACCTGTGTTGATTTTTAATTAAATACCACCCAACCCCAAACTCCAATTCACACATACTCCTTGATTCTCCCTCAATTTACTATAACCTATCCATATTCCAATCTATGTATTAGTCTTGTTAATCCTTTCATGTTATCTGCTTTTTAGATCCTAGCAGGTTACAACACCATTAAAGAAATTACGAGGACTAAACACTTGTTTATTTTGTAAAGCCAATTGCTGAAATGAAGTAGTACCGCTCATCAATTAAACTTTTTTTCTAGATGTCAGGAAAAATAGGTAATAAATTGTTGAAATTTTAATATTAATTAATGATAACTAACTTAATTAATTAAGTTAATTTTGTTAAGTTAGTTAATTTATTTTAATTATTTATTTATTATTAATTTTATTTTATTAATTTTATTATGCTTAAGTCATTATTACTTATTGGTCTTAATTGAAATAGTCGCACTATTAAGACGTATTGGATTTATAATAGCATATTAGTGTGAATCAGAGCTGTCCATCAGACATGGTTAGTCCACATTAAATATGACAGTATCTATATTATACTTATGTATATGAAAAAAACCCCATTCTTCATTTTTTAAAGTCGTTGGTGGAAATGTCACACGAGCGTAACCTATTAATGGTTAAGCAATGTACCATATATAATTATTGTTTAAATTAATTTACTTCCTTATGCATTTCTAATGCAACTGAATGCATAATCTAATATATTTTATGTAACTGAATCATAACTTTTCTTAGGTCAAATAGCGCTTTTAGGCTTTATTATTTATCAGGCATTATTTTTAACAAATCGATTTTATATATATTTATATAAATAAGTAAACACAATTTTGCCCTTATGAAAAATATATGCTTACTTATACTTTTAATACCTTTGTATTGTTTGGTATCAAGACCAAAGACGCAGACCAAACATTAACACTACCGGGTCGATAATGACTTTATTTTTGTAATTATAAATTATCTATTTCAGTTTAAATATTACTTGTAACAACGATAGGTTTTTTAATTTCAGCAGATCTTGAGATTCCAACTTCTTAGAATCGAAGAGGTCTGATCCACTTACACCGAATTATTAATTCAAAACCACGTTATTCTTCAAAGATCTTTATGTTATATACCTGTAGCGCCAGTTATGAATATATCCTGATTTTCAAAAAACTCTGTAATTAACATAGTTGCTTATCAATTCTGGTTAAAATCCAATAGATAATATTCCAACACAATATTCCAATATATTTCCAGAAATTTCTCTAGCTTTAAATTTGAAATTTATTCAATCACCTTTTGAAATTAAATTTAATAAAACTGTATCAAACAATGCCAACCGATGTACTAAATGTAGACCTGTTTCTTTTTTATTTTAAATAGTGCAATGGATTACTAAAAATGCAAATATATACAAAACCAAAACGTGTACAAAACATTACATAAAAGTAAAGTCGTGTAAGACTATAAGAAAAAGGGATCAGTTTCTTGAGCTATATAATCACGATATTTGAAGAAATGAATTCATTAATTATTTTTCTTATTGAAATAAAGTAAAATATTCTAAGTAGATCTGAACCCATATTATTCTTAAATAATAGACTATGAATGCAGTCCGATCTAAAAGATCTATTTTGCGCCTAGAAGTACAACTAAAACAATTCTAGACTAATTATTAATTTCGTAAATGCTGTGGGCTTAATTTTACCTATTTGATTTGGGACTAAAATCCCGCTTCCAAGGTAGTCAAGTCTACGTCCTATCGCTGCTGGGCAGTTGCATAGAATACATTCTGATGTTTCCTTCTCTTCAGAGTCGACAGGAATCACTTTTTACCGCACTTTTATTCTTCATGTGGTAATTGAGTCTACAGTGTCCTGTAAGAAGTTCAGTGTAGATTTTAATATCATTTCTGTTCAAGTTAAGGATAACTTCAACTTTGATGTGTTCAGAATTAATGAATCTTCTTCACTGTCGCATGTCTATTTATGCTTTCCAATGTTCAAATAGATTTTATTTCTGCCGTTCACATAATAAGTTATTTGTGAAGCTATTTGTTACCCCCCGAAGGGCTCTGGACAAATGAAAGGAGTACATGCACCTTTCTTTGATAGAGAGTCAGCTATATCATTGCCCTCATGCCCTTCATGTCCCGGTATCTATATAAGAGTAACATAGTTTCTCGATGCTAACATATTTAGAAGTTAAAAACCTTCCCATACCAATTTTGATTGAAATAAAAAGTTTGATAAAGATTTTAGAGCTTTTAGAGGACAACCAAGCTGTCCGAAAAAATGTATATTTTGATACCTCGGGTGCCCCTACGTAGGCACTCTCTTACACATAGCTCTAAGGCCCGAAAAATGGAAGCGGTTTTTCCCATCTGAATCTAAAACTGCTGACATATATATACATATATATATATGTATTTATTAATTTTTACATATAATATTCGTATTATAAATATTTATAATATATTTTGGACCCCTTTTTTGGAAGAAAATAAATGTTATCTACAGCACTGCAATTTTTGTTTGCTTGTTGGAATAAAAAATTAAATATATTAGAATTTTAATGAAGTAATATTATTTTGCGACAAAGTACTTCAATTCTATAGATTATCAGAACCTAAATAAAAAATGCAGTTTTTCTTATTTTTTTTAAATAGTTTATGAAAACTACGTTTCGTAGTTTATTCGTAGATATGTACATTAACGAAAAATTCTCATATTTATAGTTTAAGTTTCGCTTAGGGCCATGTTATGCAGAGTGTCTCGGGCACGGCAAATTACGCTCTTTCGGGCTATGCCGAAAATGCATGTTATGCAGAGTGTCACATCAGTATTGCCAATTTTGTATTTTTACTACTTCTTGGTTGTGCCTAAATTTAAAAGGAAATTTAGATATGCTCACTCTCAATTTGCCACCAAAAATAACTCGCATGAAAAAACTCATAGAGGCTGTAATAATGCTATCTTATTATTATATTATCTTTTAATAAATGTTAACAGTATTTATGCATTTTTTTAAAATCGGAAAGTGTAATAATTATATTATTAGCGATTTATAAAAAAAATGCTGTGTTGCTTACTGCCATTTTTTCTCCAAAACGTACTAGAATTGTAGTAGTTTACTCCTAAAAGGCGCAAATTTTGAAATTTATTACTAAACAACACTGTTTTGCCTTAGTGCCGGGGCACAAAAACGCCGGCTCTCATGCCGGAGTTTAAACGGCCATATTGTTTTTTCTCTCATTCTCTAATTTAAAATTTGCATTGAAAACAACAACAATTGTACTCATGCCGTGCCCGAGACACTCTGCATAACATGGCCCTTAATAATCTTATCAATATTCATACTAATTTATCCGCATAATTTCAATCTTTATATGTATATATCCACATCTATATATATAGCCCACATGATTTTTTTTTATAGGAATGCTCTTGCTCTGCTGGTAGTTTGAGATGATATAGATAAACTTGATATTTTTATATATACATTAATAAATAATTTCATTCTTTAAAACGGGTTGGGGATATGTCACCATGTCACTGCATCTTTTAAGGATTATTGTGACAAATCCACTTTAGTTTCATAGATGAGTAGCAGCTAAAAACGCCATTATGTCCTTTGGAGAGATGTTGCCTAATTCCGTTATTAGTGAATAGGCAGTTGTTAAGTACCAAAGTCTGAGTTTGGCGAAACTATCACAGTGACACAGAATGTGTTCTACTGTTTCCTCTTCTTCACAACAAAGTTTGCAGCTATCGTCTCATGTAATATTTAGATTCGATAGATGCTTTTTTACTCCACAATGTCCAGTGAGAAACTCTGTGACAAGTGGGATGCCACTACTATTCAGTATTAGAAGCTCCCTATATCTATATCTTTATATATAGCATACATGATTTTTTCTGGTAGCAGTAATTTTGGTCCGCTGGTAGTGTAAGTCCCTATTGCTAACCTAAAATATATACATCTATATATAAATGTATTTTTTTTTTGTTGGGGAGTCGGTGGAATGTTTTAAGCACCGTTAAATCCACCGTCGCTGGAATAGTATATCTGACTCCTACTGTGTAGTATATGAACTAAAACACCTCCTCTTCTTCTTCAGACTTTTTCATCTCGAAACCACTTTCGCATTACTTTAAGGAGTATTCCTTATAAGTTAGCTGTCCATGCCATATGCTTCTTGTAGAACCTGCGTCTAGGCACCCACTCCTGATCCGAATTGGAAAGTCTTTAGATTTAAATTATTTTAAATTCATTCGCGTTCAGGTCTTTCTTTTTTTCTCTTAGGACTTTTACGATATACACATATATAACACTTTCATATTGTTATAAGGATATAAAAATTATATAGCATAAGTCATGGCGCAACTTTGCCCCTTCTAATAATTTTACTATAATAAATACTACATTATTATATTGTCTAGTCATACCTACATATGTGTAATGCAGTTAATTTCAAACTTCATACGCACATATATATATATACAGATTACTTTCAATTCATTATTGTATTGCAATTTAAATAGAATCAAAATTTTTTTGAACTACAATCATTAATCAGTGGCTGTGTATAGATAGATATAAGCGATGCAAATGTTCCAATTTATATGTTCATTATTAGCATATAAAGAAGCATATTTAGAAAGTAGACAAACGGAATTAATTAAATGCTTCACACAACAGGTGTAGCTGGCACCGTCATAATCGGAGGCAACAGTTTTGTCTGTAACAAAAGAGAACTAACTTTAGTACATATAAACCCATACCCCGCACCAGCCGCTGCCATATGAACCAATTCACAGTTCTATTGTAGGCCAATGACCCAAAACAAATGCTGTTGTTGGTTGCTTCATTAAAGTGTCTTCATATGCACAGTTAGTATAGCGTATCCAAAGTGCCTCAGTTTAGCCTACAGCCATGAATGGCAGTTGGAGACAATCACCAACCAAGAACAGTTAATTGACTAACAAGAGAAGAATGAGAAATTTGGGTAAAGTGTCATAAATGTCACTACTCTCTACTATTGTATCTTAGCTACCATCGTAATATAATAGAAATGCAATTTATTTAATTGCTATTTCTTTTTTTTTATTTGTTAACTGCATTTTTCTTATAATTAATTTTTTTTTTTGGATTTGTGTGTAGACTGTTCTACTTAAAAATGTTGCAAGAGCAATAAAGATGTTTAACTGACTTTCACTTAAAATTCTTGATCTTCCTATTATGAGAACAGTTAATCTTTATTGACTTTCAAGTCTAACGGTTACTTGCATAGCGGTTAATTGTTATATATGCGCATCACTAGAAATGCAACAGGAATTTCTATTAAGTGAATGGAAATTGGTTTGCCGACTCGCTAATACAGATAGGTCACTTAAATCTAGAGATGGAGCTGTTTAATACTACAAAGCCAAAAGTGTTCTACAGTTTTTAACGGAATGAACTGCTCCCCCACCTTAATCACCACCTCGAAAGCAATTACTCTTTTTATAAATGGAAATTAATGAAGTTTTTGAATTGATGAAATGTGAAATTTTGTTTGATTTTGAAGAAAAAAGAAAGGAAAACTTCCGAGTTTTTGGTTTAATTTTCTCTTTTGCCTTTGTTTTCGAAAAGGACAAAATGTGTTTTCTTATTTTTCAGTTTTTCATCTTTTTTATATAATTATATAATAATAATAATTAAGAAATAATAATACATTTGCGAGTTATTAAAAAAAAAATTAAAAAATTAATAATAATTTGCAGTTTTGGGATGTCTTTTTGATGTTGTAAATTGTTCTTGTATGTGTAGGTGTATTTCATTGAATTATTTCAAACAACTTTAGATGTATTTTGTTGTTTTAATAGTTTTAATGACATTGTTTTTGTAATACAATCTTACGTGCTAGGTTTTTTTGCTTCTACTCAATTTTTAACATAGTCATTTCAATTAATTTTCTTCATTCTTTACGTTTCATTTTATACCACTAATACGGCTAATACGGCAGTCATCGTAAGCTTAAGCAGCTTAGAAGCATTTTCTGTGCACAATTGATGGGCCAGATTCATCATATTCCTGTTTGGAGATCCACATCTGTTGGAAGGTTGATAGTGATGCCAAAATTGAGCCACCGATCCAGACAGAGTATTTACGTTCTGGTGGGGCAATAATCTTAATCTTCATTGTGGATGGAGCCAAAGCAGTGATTTCCTTTTGCATTCGATCAGCAATGCCTGGGTACATGGTGGTACCACCAGACAATACAGTATTAGCATAAAGATCCTTACGGATGTCGACATCGCATTTCA